AGTAGGGGGGGGGTCAGTAAATCCAGCTCTTATGTAGCGATGAGCGTGGAAAGGATTGATGGAGGCTTATTTTTCATGTTTAGCCTACACAGCCGTGCTTGCAGGGGAGGGAGGTACCTAGACTATTCAATTTTGTGTTGAGGGGCTTAATATTGCCTACGTAGCTGTGTGGGAGGGTAGGGAGGGGGGTGGGGGCTATCTTAGCCTACGTAGTTGTGTGTGGGGGAATTATCCTAAGCCACGTAGTTGTGCGGACGTGCGTGGGTGATTATCCCAACGTACGTAGTGATATGTGGGAGAGAGCTATCCCTGGCCTACGCAGCCCTGCGTGTGTGGGGAATGAACCGAGCCTAAGATGGGCGTGAGAAGCCGACTCACCTTCCGCCCACGAGGAGAGAGCCCGACGTGTCAGGCAAGATGAGCTTCAAGTATTCGTCGTGCGTCTCGTTGCCCACGAAGCGCATGACCTCGTGGTCGCCTGGAAGGAGAGAGGAAGGCCGGGTTAGTAATAATAATAATAATAATAATAATAATAATAATAATAATAATAATAATAATAATAATAATAATAATAATAATAATAATAATAATAATAATAATAATTATTATTATTATTATTATTATTATAACAATAATAATAACAACAACAATAATGATAATACTACTGTTATGCAAATTCAGAGATGGGAGTGAGAGTTCATTTGGGAATACTACTGGTAATAATAAAGATGATGAACTATGATGACTAAAACAACGGTGGTCGTAAGGGCAGTACAAAGACAACAATAATAATAATAACACTAACAATAATCCCAAATAAACGATAACAATAATAGCAATGATAACAACGACAATACTAAAAAAAATAATAGCCCCAGTAACAATAACATCCAAAATAACAGTTTTTAACAACAGCTGGAAGCAGCAACGAGAAAATACAACCAGGCTTTAACATCAGACTCACATAAAAGAGACAAATGATATCATGAATTGTTGGGGATAAAAAGGATTAACTCAAACATCAGAGAGAGAGAGAGAAAAAAAAAGAAAGAAAAAAGTCATGATGCAACATCCCCAAATATGTTCATCAGATGAAATAAAAATCGGCATTTTAATGATGATTGTTTTCTTTTTTTCGAATTTGGTCTTATTCCTGGGAACCTAAGTGGTGATGGTGATGGTGATGATGATGATGATGATGATGATGGTGGTGGTGATGATGGTGATGGTGATGATGATGATGATGATGATGATGATGATGATGATGATGATGATGATGATGATGATGATGATGATGATGATGATGATGATGATGATGATGATGGTGATGGTAATGGTATGGCTGATGATATCATCATCTGCACTAGTAATAACAATAATAATACGAACACCATAATATCAAACCAAATGTCATATTGCACTAAATAAAACCTTTACTGATTTCTCAGTCATAGTAACATACCTTTACAAACCCATAAAAATAATAATGAAAAACGAACTTATCGCCGCCGTAATATAAATGAATAAATAAATACATAAAAAGTAACTAATACAAATAATATATATATGAACTCATAAATAAACAAAGCTATAATTAGATGTGAAAACATTACCGCTAAAATCAAGATTAAAGTGAATTAACAAATAGATTAATAAAGGATACAATATATATATATATATATATATATATATATATATATATATATATATATATATATATATATATATATATATATATATATATTGAAGTAATGATCATATACATTAAATATATGACCTTATAAAATTCGTCCATTTTTTCTCATTTTCGAAATAAATGGAAGATGGAAAATCAACGAACACGAGGATTCAAAAAAATACACATAAGAAAGATAAGAAACCAAACGGAAAAGAAGAAAAATATAAGAGAAGGAACAGCAAACGGAAAAAAAAGAAAATTTAAGAATGACACAATGAGAAGGAAAACAGACAAATTGACTGAGAGAAATGAAATTAGAGAAAAAAGGGAACGAAAAAATAACATAGGAAATGCAGACGAGACTCATAAGTGAAGAACATAAAAATTATAGAAATCGGGTGTGGAAGAAGAAGAAGAAAAAAAAAAAAAATGCGAGAGCGGAAAAAAACGAAGGAAGAAATGAGTAAGAAAAGGGGCGTGGCCACAGGGCCGAGAGCCGGCCGGACGAAGGCGCTTCCCGCGGCCTCATTCAACTTTTCCCGCCAATTATGCTCGCTTCGTTTACCTCATTAATGAAGCTTCGCGGAGCTTCTCTCGGAGAAAAAAAAACCTTTATTCACTTACCGATTTACTCAGTCTCTCTGCTTCACTATTCATTGGTTCAGCTTGCTCATTGTATTCATTCATTCGATATCATTCATTTATCCCGCAAGCACACTTTCGATTACGCGCTCATTTATCTCACTCGCTCGCACGTTGACTTACACACCATTCTAACTTTACCTCTGCTACTCCTGCTTCCTCTAAAGCTCGAAACTTCAT